GTTGTTTGCTCAAAACCAACTTCCCCAATTTTCGCGAAGGCATCAATACGACAGTCATCGTCTCATCGGTCGCTGTTCAGAAAGAAGTCAGCAGTAAACCGTCAGAAGTAATATTGTGATTTATTATTGTAATATTTGTTCACAGACCTTATTGGAAACATTTATTATATGTTGGTGTAACAATAGAGAATCCTCGAATCAACAATTGGTGTTTCGGTTTTTTCGCCCGTTATTCCTAAGCGTTTCTGAGAAACTTCAAGGAACAGCGTGAGCCCGAGCGTATGAAGAGCTGGGCATCAACGGTTTACGAGACGTGGCTGGCAGTTTCTGACGTTGAAGTCAGTTTCTGACGGTAGAAACAGATTCTGGAGGATTCAGACAGTTGGTGAAAGTTTGGATAGTCGCCGTTCATATTTCCTGGTGCCGGTCAAGTCCTCTTTAAACAAGCAATATCTGGAACGTTTTTGGAATTGGGTCAAGTTCAACAATGCCTGGGTCAAAGAAGGGACAGAGCGTCTTGGATGCAAACAGGAAAGTAAGTCATTGTGACTTGTCTGTTACTTGTAACGATGTGTCTGATGTTAAGCATGATATGGTTGATGTTACTGTTTCGCCGTTCAGGGATAATAGGAACATCAAACTCCCTAAATTTGAACCGCGGTGTTTCGATGGAAACCCGGCTGATTATTTACAATTTGTAAAGGAGTTTGAGATCATGTTGAGTGGTTTATTATTAAATGATGAATTGAAGTTAATGTATTTGATGAGATATTGCACTGGAGATGCTGCAAGAGCTATACAGTGCTGTAAGTTTATGAAGCCAAAAGAGGGCTACGCTGAGGCTGTGAGCATATTACGTCAAAGGTTTGGAAGACCTTCGATGATTGCAGGGAAATTATTCGAGGCTGTTAAGGGTAATGGTGGTCAATTACAGGATGACTAAGCATATGTTTGATTAAGTTATCTTTGACTACTCTCTCCATGATTCTAGATGCTATAGGTGTGATTTTGATTGGCCGGTAGTTACTGACTTCAGTTTTCGAGCCAGATTTGTGTTAAGGCATAATGAATGTTGTCTTCCATATATCAGGGTAAGTTTGGGTTTCTAGGGACAATGTGAATATTTTAAGCAGCAGTAGAAGAATGTCAGGGCCACCATATTTATAAAAATAGGATGATATACCGTCAGTACCAAAACCTTTTGAGCTGTTGAGAGTTCTTATAGTTTGATTAATGTCAGCATTAGTGAATTCAATAATACTAATTGGTTTTGGTGTAAGTGGAGATGGAGTTTGTGCCATATTAGTAACAGGGTGTACATCGAGTAACTCGACTGAGGGCTTAAGTTTTGTTGAATAATTCACACATGTCTGCAGAATTAGTGCATGGCCTACCTTTGTCTATGAGGAGAGAAATGCTATTATTTTTGCGGTTTATTCTCTTCTTTAAGATTTCTGTGAGTGCATACACTCTAGCAGGACTGGCTACTACGATGCCTTCTTCCTTTCTCATACGGAAATCTCGAGCTTGTGAGATGGAGCTATGGGTGTTAAGTATTAGACCTAGAGTGCCAAAGTCGTGGTGTTTGAAGTAACTTGTTGAGAGTTTCTTCAGTTTCTTACGATCCTTTGGTTTTATGAATGACTTTCTGTGTGGGGAAACCTTTAGTGTTTGGAGTGGAATGACAGCATCTAAGCATGTGTTAGAGTTATGGTAGAAGATGCTCAGAGCTCTCGAGAGGTCATCAGTAGTGAAGTATTCATCCCACTTGGAGGATCTTAGCATTGATTCTGCCAAGGCCCAGTTTGACTTACTATAGTTCCTATATATTACTTGTTGTGAAGTGGAGGTATGAGATGCATTGCTACTCAGCGGAAGTGGCAGTGCACACATCACTGTTTTGTGGTCGTTCCCTGGAAACTCAGGACCTACTAGGGTTGAAATGGGACTTATATTGTGGCAGAAGATTAAGTCTAGTACGTTATTACCTCTTGTGAGAGTAGTGACAATTTGTTTCCAGCCAAGTATATCCAGTGTGCCTAAGAACTTATCAAATTTAGTTGGACCTGTGGGTATATCCCAGTTGATTTCAGGTAAGTTAAAGTCCCCACATAGGATCTTATGATCGTATTGTAAGTCGGATAATTGCTCCAGAGTATTAATGAGTTGGGTCTCGTAATTACTAAAGGTGCCATGTGCTCTGTAGGAGCATCCAATTAATGCTGTTACGTTATTTAAGTGTACATTAACCCATAGAGTCTCAGGCATGTTAAGTGTACTACTTTCTAGCTGTGATACAGTAAGTGCATTCAGAAAGTACATGATACAACCCCCTCCCTTACCACCTTCCCTGTCACACCGAAAGTGTGTGTAGTTATCTAAGCTTATTTCATCATCCAGGATGTCCGAATGACACCAAGATTCAGTGATGACAATTACAGGGGGTTTGTATATTACTGTGAGTGCTCTGAGCATCGGCAATTTATTTAGAACAGATCTAGCATTTATGAGGATTACGTAAAGATGAGAGTTGAAGTAGCATTTGAAGTATTTAAGTTCGTTAGTCAGCCCCGAATATGGTTCAGCACCCAGTAGTTCTGCTTGACATGATGATCCTATGTTAAGAGGAGTTCCAGCATCATGCTCACCTATGTCTATCGAGTCGTTGTGTGCTGTTTTCGGTGGAGAATTAGGAGTTGGAGTACTGGATTTGCTATAGACTAAGGAACTTTTATTTTTAGTTAGGTTACAGAAGTGGGTAGGGTTCTTTATTTGGCCTATACTTGTGCAAGTGTCAAGTGTGTCCAGTGGATACGGGTGCACTAGACCGTTCCTGTTTTCATGCAAGGAGGGAGCCAGCACTAGTGGTTTAGGAGTGTTAACATCCCTACCAGCTGTTTTTTCAACGCTGACAGGGACGCGGGGTATAAAAAATGATTGGATCCTTGTGATGACCATGGCTTATTATTCCACCTATTGTTTGATGCTAGTTGTGTCCTTGTGTGGGTTTCGTGTGTACTGCATTTTGGGTTAGTTCCCAGCAGACTTGTACCATATATCCGGTCAAAATTTGTTTGTGTGCCATACTCTGAAGACCCTGAGTTGTTGGTAGCCGAGTTCTGACTATTACCACTTGTACTATTTAGGGTGACATCGTTGTGACATTGGATATTAGTGTGTGCCACGGTGCGATTTAGCACGTTGTGAGTGCTAATACTATTAACCGTGGGGAGTGTGGGCTTATTTAAGCTGCCACTGTTTTTGTTGGTATGATTTAGTAGCATATTTTCCTTATCTTTACCAATGGAATTATAGCTAGGAGAGGACAAATTCGAATTTCGGGGGGTTTTAACTTTTTTCTGGGGTTATTTAGTGGCATTTTAGATTCTGCGGTGATGGGTGGTATGGTTTTATTATTTATTTGGTTACAGTCTAGTGGCCTTTCGGCTGGTGTTGCACTCTGATGGGACATTTCTGTGTGTTTTGAGAGGGGTGATGCGGTGGGGTCTACTGTATCTTTCACAGGGTTGGGGATAATGGCTTGCTGCAATGTCCTATTACCTATTTCACAATTAGTCTTAGTGAGATAGTTGTGTGCGCGCCTTTCTATAACTGTTTTGTCCACCCCGACCTTTATATGTTTGTAGTTTCTGGCTTGCGATAGGGTGTGTTGGGAGTGAATGAATTTTCTGGTCTCTGCCGGTGTTTCGAACTGAAAACGAATAGGACAACACTTTTCATGTTGACTCTTCTTCAGCCTGTAGCACTTAGTCTTGGAGTTAGGCATTTTCGCTTCACTAAGTAAGATGCGCTGTACCTTTTTTAGTGCCTCATTGTCCGGAACGTTGTAGACAATAGCACTCAGTTTTGCGTCGAGTCGTTTTGTTACTTCTGTGGTAACAAAGTTAATGAGGTTATCTACCTTAGTTACCGATTCTGTGTCAAGCTTGTTAAGGTTTACCGTTTTCATGAGGATAGTTAGAGGTGTCAGTTCACAGACCTGCGATCTGATATCGCTGATCTGATCTGATAATTTGGATATCTCGGTATTGGTTTCGATGTTTCCAGCATTTACTGACTTGCTGTTTTTTATTTCCCTTAACTCAGCCTTAAGTTCTCCTATAGACAACTTTAGAAGTTCTATTTCTGAAGATAGTACTGAAAAAGAGCTTGATGGCTGGAGTTTTCCATAAGCACATAAGGTGAAGGGAGGAGTTCTGTATGAGCAGAGGGTACCGAATTTTTAGGAGTAGTGCTAATACTGGCTGTCAGTACAGTTTTATCCTCAGTTTCAGCTCGACGCTTACGGCATACACGTGAGTTATGTGACTCACTATAGCCGTTTGTTGGGGGTGTGTTGCTTGATGTAGCAATCAAGGACGTTAAATTAGACACCAGTTTTACAGGGGATTGGGTTCGTTGCTTTTTACTTTGATTAACCATAACTATTAGAAATGAGAGTTAGTGGTTACAAGTATGGAAGTGGTATAGTACTTGTGCAAGTACTACAACAAGATAAATTTTATGTAACGAATCACGTAAAAATGTAACGCAAACGTTGAACGTACCGCGATACAGAGGAGGAACCAAAATTGTCTACTTCTGTTATTAAAGAGTTTGAAAATGATGAAGTTGACGGTAAAGTGAATATTCGTGATAATGTTCATGATACTTCACAGTTGTCTTTGGTTGATCATGATGAGATGAGGGATATGCCTACTACTGCTAAGTTGAACAAAGTTTCTGTACAACTTGAACGTGAAGTAGAAATAAATGCAGATGCAGTTACAGAAGGCATGCATACTTGTGAGACCGTCAGTGTGATTGATCAGCATGTAGCCCACCTATCATCAGATGCTAGTGCTAAACCTGAGCTGATAGTAAAAGACAGCAGTGGTGGTAATCTTGCAGTTAGACAACTTTCTGAAAGTCGAGCAACAACAGCTTTTGATCCACCGCTAACTTCATCAACTGATTTCAATCAGTCGTCGTTGGTGCTGTCATCCACAATGGAAAAGACGCCAATCACGTTCTGAGAAATTGCCTTTCCAACGCATATGACTCCAGGGATTTTTTAATAAGAATAAACGATAACCCTTTAGTATTTATTACATTGTTATACCGAGGAAATAAAAACAGAAAAGGATGACAAAAGATTTTTTAAATATCAACAAAACACTCAGGAAAAAAATTAAAAACGCACCCAGTAAAAACGGACATATGATGTCATTTCCAGTGTGTACTTACTTCAGGTATAGCATACCTAACTATCGACATAGGTGTGTGCCTACACATGAAATTATCTAGCAAAAAAAGTGACTTGTTAATTTGATTATACATATAACTTTTGGTGAAGAATGAAAAGAAAAACGAAGACCACGGGTTGCTCTTCAAAATGTCACATGTTCAGTTGACATCATCAACATCACCATCAGAAGTATTACATTAGTGTGTACTTTTAGACTAATTTTACAACAGTATGCTTCACGTTTTTTTGATATCAATATTATTATTTACCAAAAATAGAAAGTCACTAGAGGAAAAAATACGTATATATTGATTACAGGAATGCAAGATCATATAGTGGTATTAGTATTAGTAGATATCCAGATAATTTGAAACGATGAATTTCACATTTGCATATATTGGCAAACGATATGCAAATAATATTTTCTGAGAAAATCCCGTCTATTTGACCAGTTCAATAGTATTTTAGCCGGTCCTGTAGCCGAAAAAAAGTGGGAATGTTGAAGCGTGGAGCTAGCGACCCTACTTCAGAAAATCAATCTAATCGCCACTACAATTTCAAAGAACAACAGAAATAATAATACTTTCTGCAGAAGTTTGAATCCTATCAACTATGACACAAAAGATAATTGAAGTAAATAGTATAAGTGAATGAGAAGGTTAGCAAATCTCCAGAGACAACCACTAACGTTCAACATCATCATAAGAGACTGTTATTACATACTCATGAAAAATTTAAAAAAACTCACTTCAGAGTGAAATTAGTGCTGAAGACGGTGTACACTGATGGATAACGAAAGCTTTCAGCTTAGAGAACAACACAGCTACAACAATATCACCTCCCTGAATTACACATCTTTATTTCTGAAGTTCATAGCATTTATCAAGTAAAGCTACATTTAGGAGTGATATGATTATTGATAATTTGTTGCTACTGAATAATATACGGAACGAAATTTCTTCTAGACATTATAATTTGGTATAGAGGGTTAATTGAAATGCCTTTATGATGAGACTAGTGGGAAGGTAGCAGTTTACACTGAGACACTCTTTGATGATGTCTGAGCATCAACAGTGATGTTATTTCAGTGAATGGTGACCAGCAACGGAGTCCGAAACACCCGCTTCGTCCTATTCGGGACACGAGCGCACCTGTAATTCTCCGTGAGTGATAGCGTTCCCATTGACACTCGAACGCTGTCGACGTGTCAGTAGAAGCCGAACATCTCTGTTCGTTTTTAGAATTTGAAATAAAGAGTACTGGGTTCGAGTCTCATTGGGAACGGTGTCACTCAGTTGCTGAGTCCCAAGTAGGACGAAATGTTCATTCTGAATTCCGCTGCTAGTCACGACCTACCGAATAACACAACTAAAATTAAATGAGTTACCGAAAATTCATAAGCCTAATATATCAGTGTGTCAAATATTAGAGGTATGGATTTCTTCTTTATTTCCGCCTAGAAATTTATTTTCCTAGTTCTACACTCAGCTTGGAGATAACTTGATGAATACACAATTATATGTTTAATGTGTTATGAGACTTATACCTTTCATCACATTTAATCGAAATAGACAGATAAATCCCTACATTTACTGCCCTTAAAAGTTGAAATTTTCTTCTATCATACTGCCTTTGAACTATTTATTTTATTATGGAACTGATGAAACTGTGTAACTATAATTGTAGGCCAAATAGTCACTTGATATTTATCATCTTTACAGGTGTTTTGCTAAACAGATATTGTTATTCGACTACATAAGTATTATATTCCAGTTAGGTAAGCAGTTAGTTGCAAAGCTATAGTATCAAAGTACTATTTGTTAAACAATGGCGATCTGATTAAATCACTGGGCTGCCTAAATTTCTATTCAGTACAATGCATAAACTCTTCTCCATTTCCGACTGTTTTATTCATCTAATTATATTTTTGGATCAGTAGACAAACTCGCACATATTTTTAGCTTGTTGTCAACGTAAAACGAAGCACTTCTCAAATGAAAATGAGGAGAAAATACCAGAAAATTGGATACTACTTCAGATGAAACAACACAGTCGCAGATGGTGTACTGTACTGCCGAACATTATTTTACTTTATGATCTTCCAGGAAGAGTAGATATTTTGCAATTTAATTAGGCTAAGAATTCTGTACTATTTGTTAATACACTATCTTGACTAAAGCTGTTATTATTACTACATTATTTTTATTATAGGTGCGTCAGTAGCACAGTGGTTAGGACTCTCGCCGACCATGCACATGGTCCGGGGTTCGATCCCCTGCTGATGCACACCCGATATCTATGGTCGGTCTGAAAAATTTCGCCTACCGATATCACATGCTGAAAATTCCATACTTGTACTAAAATACGGTGTGGAATCAAGCTGTAATCAAAAAATTAAAAAACTATATACATATATATATATATATATATATATATATACAAATTTCCTTTCTTTATCGAAATTTATCAAGGGAACCAAATATACAAATTTCATCTGAATGGTTAGTTTCCTATGGATAGCCACCGCCAGGACCTTTTAATGGAGCTTGTATTTTGTATTCTAACTAGTTTAAGTGAATCTATTAATCTTTCTCGACAGGTGTCTTGAGTTGATTATCACTGTACACAAAGCGTTAGTCCGGCAAATAGAATACAAAGTCAAGTAAAACATGTCTATAGTACTGCTATTGGAAAAAAAGGTACATCAGTGATAGTTCAAAGAAACCTTAAAAGAGCTTAGCATTGTTGCATTACAGACCTCACAGGAAATATACTAAGCTAACTCAAAAATTCTTGCGAAAAATCGAACAAAATAGCCCAGATTTTAAAGTACTCGATTGAACGTGCATTTCAAGCGCCAAGATAATTCATAATTAAAGTGCGGATTAACATTGACGATCACCCAATACTGACACAAATATAATGGTAATTGATTCATGACCTAATTGCAACTCTACGCATCATCATCGACACAAAGCATGGAATGGCAATCAAACCTCTACCTCAACTTTATAGACATTGAGAAGACCTTCGACACCGTTGACCGCGAAGTAATTTGGAAACTACTCGAGTAGTACGGAGTACTCCAAATATTCATCAACCTTATTCAACAGCTGTATGACAACGGCACCTGCCAAGTGATCCACAACGGAAGACTCAGCGAGGCGTTTGGAGTAAACACAGGAGTCAGACAAGGGTGCTTACTATCACCAATGATATTCCTAATTGTGGTGGACTGGATTATGCGTCAGACAGTGGGAAACGAGAAGACAGGGATATCCTGGACAGACAGACGTGAAGAACCTAGAAGACCTGGATTTCGCGCGTGGATGATTTATGTTTGATGTCACACAAGAACGAAGACTTACAAGCGAAAACCGAAAAACTGGTCGAAGAAGCAGCCGGCGAAGACAAGACTCCAGGTTAACATAGACATGACGGAGGTTATGAAAATAACCAGCCAACCAACAACAACAGCAGCAACATACAGCGCCAATCACCATCAACGGGGGGATTTGAAAGAGGTTACTTCATTAACTTATCTGGGGAGCATTGTCTCAATTACAGGCAATCGGAACGGACGAGGATGTCAAATCGAGCGAGAAACACATTCATCAACCTGAAACCAATCTGGAAGTCGGCATCTGGTCACTGAGCATCAACAACAAAATTCGGTCGGATTTTCAATACAAACGTCAAGTCAATCAGTTCTTCTATACGGATCAGAAACTTGACGGGTGGGTCACAAAGAATATTTCCAACAGCCTGTTGCAGACCTTTATCAACCAACTACTGTCTTCGCTATATACTGAACTGAAGATCAGATGGCCGGACCGGAAAGAATCACCAACAAGAAACTATGGGAACAAACAAAACAAGAACCAATCGCCCAACAAGTAAGCAGGAGAAAGTGGAGATGGATTGGACATGCACTGAGGAGGCCAGATGGTGACATCGCGCGTCAGGCCATCACTCGAGTGGAACCCGAAAGGGAAGCGGCGAATGGTACGTCCAATGCTGACATGGAGGAGATAGTGTGAAGAGGAGTTGAAACAGTATGGACTAAAATGGATGCAGGTGAAAAGTACAGCAGAAGAAAGACAGAAGCAAGTGTGGACGTGCAGTTCAAGTCCTATGTTCCAATAGGAACCCAAGGGAATAATAATATATAATAATAATTCACGCGACAATATGCTCATACTTATATCCACTTTGAAGAAGCAGAAAATAATACGTGTAAAACTTGGGCACTGTGGTAGTAAGCAATTCCATATTAGTTTGTTTAATAGATGTATCACACAGTGAAACAGTATTTTTACAGGATGATGTTTCGAACAATTGATGTGATTATGAACAATAAATTTTGTTCGAAACTTCATCCAGTAAATAATACTGTTTCACTGTGTGATGCATCTAATAAACAAACTAATATGGAAGCAGAAAATAAAACTAATAACTTTATTGGTTGCATCTCTATAACATGCAACAGAAGTAACTTTAGGTAACTGTCAATTCCATGAAACAAAATTTTAGATAAAAAGGAAAATTAACTGAGAATGTCATAAAAATGCATTTTTTTAGTTATTAACTTACATCTACTACTCGTATATCCAGCATAGCATATGCATGAGTTGGAACTAATCCAGAACGTTCACTATCTTCATCAGATAATTGTCCAGTCGCTATAGTGACTAAACAATGACCTTGGTGAAATCGACTTAAAAGACGACGAAATTCTTTGTCTTTATCAAAAACAGATGAACTAGATCGGATAGATATACGTTCTGGAATCCAACCAGTTAAAGCGTGTAAATCAATATTCTGAAGATTGAAAAGAAGCAACAAAAAAAGATAACGAAGTCTTTCATTCTGTAACTAAAGAGTAGTTAAGATAAGACTGGAGAGTGATCGTGTTTTATTTCAGGATCCAAATGATAAGAGGCTTCAACATTAAACACTGTCAAATTTAACCGCCACACACTGAACTCTGAATAACTGGTTATGACCAAAACAGGCATGTAAGTTAACATACAGTTATTTGTTTAAGTGTAAATGGTCGACTGGGTATACCGGCATCTCCAATGCCTGAACGTGCCCCCACCAGTTTGATCGATAACGCTTTGGTCTTTGAAACGATAGGTGGTGAGTTGGAATCTCAGTGGGGGTCACATCACTGACTGGAAATATAGGTACGTCCAGCCAACAAATCCCGAATAGGACGAAGTGCGCATCTTAGACCTCAGGGTTAGCCATCATCAGGTATTATTAAAAAACCCATTCTAAGAGGAGCCAATATGCCAATAACCAAAATGAAACGTAAATTAACTCAAACGAATGTCATTCAACTGCTTATTCTCATTTTATCTCATGTTCCTATCGACCACACATTTTTATACACATTTAAATGATAATCAAAAGTAACAGACCATTATAATTCCATCTTGTAGATGTACCACTATATAGTTTCTGATATAATTTGAAATTTGCCCTTACTAGCCTATTGTATGCTAACATCAACGGATTTATAAGCGTCGAGCTTGAAGAAGAATTGATTGAAAACAATAGTTTTCCACCTTAATTATTCTTTTTCCCAATAAATTTTGGGGATATTCAAATTATAATTTGTTTGAATCGTTTTATTTCCAATTTTACCCAACTTCCATTTTTACAGACAGTTAACAGACTGAGATTCAGGATAGAAGTCTGCATATAAATGTAGTAGTTAAAGTTGTTACACACCATGTAGCACACAGATGCAGATAAATGAGGGAGAAAAGGAGATTCAGAAGAACTATTATGAATAGAAAAGTGTGGAAGAAAGAATTGTAACATGGAGGAGCATGACGGTTTAGTGGATATGGCAGATCACAGAAATTGAATATATCTGCATCACTGAGAACGATTTTGAGCCATATCACCAGCAGTCTCAAAGCATTAGTTCTTAGCATTTCAAGGACCCCAGCTACACAGCCTACACCTTTCTATGTGGCTCAAACTAACTACCGAAGACCTTTACAAGTATTTAAAATAATCAAGCCTTGAAAATAATGCATCCGAATATTTTCTATGAACCATTCTCTACACTTCCCTTAAATAATGATAATAATATATGTGTGGTCCACTGTTACACGAACACGGCTTACAACAAATAAGATGGGTATTTGATCCTCATTCCGACCGGTCAGGTTATACGTTTGTCAGGTTCAATCCTGTCTTATACAGAATATTTATTGTGGATATACAAACTGAAATCTCGGTTGACAACCACAAGTTTATGATTAATAGTGGACAGCGCTTATCAGTGATTTCCAGTCCTCCTCGGTAGACCGAAATTTCCACTAATCCAACTGTAAGATCCACACGTTCTCATTCACATTTTCGTTTTTATGAGGAACACCCTCTCCACGTGAAGATACTCAATAGGAAATACCTATCAAAGGCTATGAACGCGTGGCCACATGATAGTAATTCAGGAGGAATACCGAAGTATATCCCACTCCAGCCATACCGGGTCTTTACAGGGTTGTGCTTATAGCCTGTCGTCTGTCGACGGTTAGTTAGTCAGTCAGTTGGAACTTAGTTACCCAGAACAGATTCCGCATGTACGATGCCATGTGAGCTAAACTTGTTGTGTGATGGCCAATACTACTTAGTTGCCCAGGCTGAGGCAAGTGAGAGAAGATTCGAATTCGGGAGCTATCCTGAAGAAAGTGAAGTGCCTAAGTCAATGGGTTCGATTCCCACCGATCGAAAGTATACCATTATATTATCATTAATGATCACAATAATAAAGATAATCCAACCATTATATGAAAAAAGATTCACTGAACCACCACTTATGAAAAGAACAGATGAAACTGGTAATGAATACTATAAAAGTTTAAATAGTTAAATATACCTTACCGAATTCGATCCAGGAAAATCATATCCTCCCATCACTTTCATGTACGCCTTCTCTAATAAGGATACCCATAATTCATTATGATTATTAGAAAAACAGCATAAGAGCTTTCCATCTTTTCCCATTGGTAATAAATCGTCTACAATGACCTATATTCATAAAACATTTCAGTAACAATTTGAAGAAAGACAAATAAATAGATACTAGTTTAAACAGAAAATAAACATACGGAAAAAATTCCACTTACCTAATTGACATCATTTTTCAAAACGGAGTTGTTGTTTTTTTTTTACTGTGGATAAGAATTTAAAAGTTACAGTGTATAACAAAATAGACTAGCAAGTCTACAGAACTGTCCACGCAGATCTTGATCACAGTTCATGAAATTTTGTTTTTGATGACTATTCATGCCCCAGATTTGATTGGACAAGCATTTTAAAGACGAAACGTATGTACATATATGCTTCTGATTATTTCCCTGAAGAATTTCTAACCAGTTGACTGAGATTTATACAAACAAGTTTTACATCTCTAATTTTCACCCAGCGTTCAGTTATTTTGGAACTATTCGGTCAAATCTTGATCAGATTTTCTTATCAGTTACAAAATAATCATTGATAATCAGATTTTGAGTTTTGTAGCGATTCTGATTCATGTCGATTTAGATTCCGTCATGTATTAACTTCATTTAGAGAATCAGTAAAAACTGGGAAGCCCTGTGAATCGCTGTTTCGTTCTTGTTTTGGCACTTCTAAGCAGTACCAGTGCGATTCACCAGGTGAGTGATTCACTGTAGCCCCATATATCGCGAATTGAGATAAAGGCTCAAATTCACGGGTCAATGAATTCCTACTAGGTGGTTGAAGGGTCAACGAGCTGACCACGCAGCCTGAAAGTCCTTGATTTGATCCCCGGAGGGATCATGGGTGAACAACACACCGCCTAGGAGTCTCAAACTAGAATGAAACAGACGTCCGGTACTCGTTGGTTTTCTATGGCATTTCATCTCTCTAAATGATGTTCGTTTGTGACTAAATCGATATTGGCATTATTCCCATGCCTTATATAGTTGAAGCTCCAAGAATATTTTGGTCAATGCGTATTCGTCGTATAAATACTACTCACTGTTAAAATACAACTTTAAGTTTTTGGTAAACAGGATATTTTACTAAATTCGATGAAGCTTAAGATTTTATGACATACCTACAAACATGGGAGAAAGTAACATATTTACCATGGAAGATTTTTTTTTTTGATTTACAGCTTGATTCCACACTGTATTTTCGGTACAAGTATGGAATTTTCAGCATGGATATCGGTAGCCCAAATTTTGCAGGCCGACCATAGATATCAGATCATTTATTGAAATGTATCCTACTGACATGTAATTATGTTGGATGCAAAGAGCAATCAACATTTTAGGAGCATTTTACATTCAAATGATTGATAAACACAATCGAGAGATAGTGATGATAAGGCAACTGGTATCTAGTGTTTAAAGAAAAAGATTGATGGCATCCTCACTTTGCTATGTTATCCACTCAAGCACAAAATATTAATTATTTCTAAATTCTAGTTGAATTTAATGTTATTTTTTATGCATATTACCACGTAGATACGTTTCGAACTGTAGTCTGTTAACAATCTATACTCACATACCGCTTGTAATTTTGATGCCAATGATTTCATGTTATTTAAAAACCCTTAATGTTGTCAATAACAAATATTTTTCAACTATTATGGACACAGAACTGTCGCACTGATGAAGAAGTAATCGAAAAGACTATCCTTTGTTGACTAATCTCAGCTTCTTTGAAATTCTAGCTTATTTTTAATCTTAGGAATCTGAAGAAATCTGTAACGTGCGAGATGCGGTTAGACTAAAACAAACAAATCATATTCCAGAGGTTGCAACACACTATTCACAGTTTGCTAGCCCTTGGGACTGGGTGGGAACAGTAGAATGGTGATACTTGCTTTGGGCTAGTACCTGTCGGTGCATCGTGACTCTCTGAGTAGTTCGAGGGGGGTGGGAGTGGGGTTGGAGATATTGTGACTTAGTGGGTAGAGATGTTATTTGAAATGGCTGTAAACTTCTGTTTTCCTCTCTTTCAAAGAATGATGAACACCTCTTTAAAAGTTCTTGATAAGGACACTTGCTTATTTTTATGGCGTTATTCATCAGTTATTCTATTTCTTCTCCTTATGTTTTATAGTTTTTACGTGACCCATGTGTTGGTGTCCATGTTGTGTTCAAATAAATAAATACAATGATGCTTTACCATGAAGTTGTTAGTAATAACTCAGTAGCCTGATATATCTACGAAACTATCAACCAGACGATAACAAAAAAACGTGCAAAGCTATACACTATGCTACTGCTGGACTGCTTTGGATGCACAGTTAGCTCAAGTGTACTTTGGACAGAAGGAGTTGGTTATTTTAAGTGTACCACTTCTAACTTTAGTCTATAATTAATGTGTGTAATACAATCGTTAGGAACACAATTTTCAGCGAAGAGACTCTTTTCAACGAATTTATTATCAAGCTGTACAATCGTATATATATGGTTTTATAAAGAAATTATATCCGGTGAGGGAATTTGGTCAAAGGTGTAAATACATGAAATAATAATAGTATGAAATGAAATTAAAATATTTGTGATTATATTCATAGTTTAAGTCAAGTGGAACAATAATTAATGTCATATATAAGATAATACATAAGGTGTATAGGTTTTGGAGAGAGGTATATAATTATAGGATTAATAGACGAATATAAAATATTATGTAACATGGTGTGAAATTTGATAAGATAGAATTCAATATCGTAAAAATAAAAAGTATACACATGAATAATTTTTGGTTTAAAATGTCAAGTAGGTCAAGTGGAAAAGATTCAGAGTGAGAGTCGTAATAATAATAATAAAGATAATAATAATAAAAATAATCGAAGTAATAAGAGGAAAGTACATAGAATAACTAAATAAATAAATGTCTATCCCTCTACGGCCAAGGCAGAAGTAGGGATTGTACATACTTCTTTTGTACACAAAGGTCTGGCTTAAAGTCATGAATTGCCAAGGCCTCAGATATCTTTAGAAGTCTGTAACGAAGAAAATGCGGGAAGTTAGCATGAATTCTATATATGACCTTGAAATCATGGTCAGGGTTGACCGAGTGACAGAAGTCGTTGAGGTGTTCTAGGATAGAGCTTCGCACACATTTCCTTTCTCCCTTGTAAAACCAGGCTGGAATAGTTCTCGTATCCGTGTGGAGAGCGTTATCTGACTACGGTCGTAGTCAGATGTATTATCTTATATATGACATTGTTGTTCCACTTAACTTAAACTATGAATATAATCACAAATATTTTAATTTCATTTCATACTATTATTATTTCATGTATTTACACCTTTGACCAAATTCCCTCACCGGATATAATTTCTTTATAAAACCATATATATACGATTGTACAGCTTGATAATAAATTCGATGAAAAAAGTCTCTTCGCTGAAAATTGTTCTTAATGCTACAATGGGAATTATTAAATTATTAATACAATCGTGTTAATGTATTTGACTATTATGTCTCTAAAAACTAGCTATTTCTATACAGAAAAAGTCTTCTATCTACTGCCATGTCATGAATAAGAATGCGTCTATTTTTTTGTCTTCAAGCCACTAACTCCTACATCCAATACTTAAAGTGATGTACGAAGGAAATTACAGACAGACGACTTGCGTAAAGGAACTCAAGATAACTTTCAAATTTCAAAACTGTATACTCAATACTTCTATAGATTATGTCTTCTCATTCCTTTGCATTCTGAGTAGAACAGAGAACTTCAAGCTTTGAAATTTCGGTAGCGGGCTGTTAGACTCGTGCTCAACCTTCATTCTTTACCTACTACTTATCATCAATTAGGAGAGATTTAACAGGGTGTCGACCGGGAATCGAACTCTGGCCATATGAATGATTGGTAAGCATTCATAAGATAATTTGGCCACATTTTCGATGGACAAATCTAAAATATTTCAAGAGTTGAAGAGTGCTCTAATCAAAGATCAGAAATCAACAATAGAAATAATATTTTTTTTGGAGAGAATTTGTTTACATACTTTACGAGGAACACCATTGAAATTTAAGCGTATCATGTATTTCCCACATGGATTGTAAACAGCTTCGCCATTTTTGCCTTGAGGATAAATAACACTTAAGAAAAAAGAGGAAAGATTAAATGTTAATTGGACTATATTCAAGTCATATGAACTGTAAGACATAACCAAATTAATCAAAATTTTATCCGTGAATAATCACAATAATGATGGTGAACAATAATTTTGAAACTGTAAGAATCTTAGCATGTAGCATAGTATTACACGGAAGCACTTCAGAAAACGATAGTAACTCGTACGAAACACTGATACGATTGGTCATATTGCCTACATATATGAGATCACTATTTTTACTCAATTACTTCGAAACAGGATGTGAGCCACATGCAGAAAGTGTGAGGGCTGACGGCACTAGCCAGCTGCCCGCAGTGGAGTGGGTGAAGTGTGATTCGAATCCAGTACTGTTGGGTGAAAGACCAGTGTTCATGCCAATAAGCCACGAGACTAATAACTGAGGTTCAACGTAGAACTTTTCACAGAAGTGCAGTAGTTCTAATCGTCACAATTCATGTAACGTACAAAGGTAGAAAAAAGATATAAGACTCAAAAGAAATACAATGAGCAGAAATTTGCGGGAGACCGATACGCATAGCGATAAAAGGATTTTACGTTATTAGTTAACTCTCAAATATATTTCGAAGTTTTGCACATTTTGTATTTATACAACTGATCTTTTAAGACGAAACTGTTGATCGGTTACTTCCACAAAGACTTGTATTTAATCAACTGAATTGCTTAAAAGATATATTAGTAATTTGTGAAGCTGCATCGATTGAGATGGCTAGAACATTTATTACATATGCCAAGCCATCACTTTCTAAGTCGAGTAATGTTAGCAGACGTAGGATTGGGTTGGAAAAGAGTTACGGGTTGCTAAACCAAAACATAGTATCAGTCGATGAAGTCGTAAACTGTTAGTCTGAGTCAACCGTGTAAGGAGGTGTAGAATGCGTATTTAGGGTCATCAAGACGGTAAGAACTAATAGCTGGAGACTATTAATGACATGGGTTAAAATTGTTCTCAGTGGTGTGGGTGTATTCACTATTTGTGATCTTCCAGATCCCTTGAATTCACACTATACACCATGTAATTATTCTTTATGTTACACATTTCTATTAATTATGATTTCTTTGCATTTAATATCACTGAAAAGTTTATGCACTGTGCGATAGATAAAATTAATTATAATTATATATTTCAATGGTTGTTTATATACAATGGTAGGTTTTTTAGATTTTCGTAGTATTTCGAGCACCGTGAACATATCAACTGTTGGGATTGTTTTTAAGTCAAACATTTACAATTTCTAATATATGTATTTATAAATTTGTAGTCGAAATCTTACTAAAATCAAAAACTTATCATTGTGTGTAAACAAACATTGAAATTTACTTATAATTAATTGTTTGCATTTGCTTATTTCTCTCTAACTTCATGTGTAGTTTGATAAAGGGTGACAACTTGAATTGCTGCACTTTTGTGCTAAGCAATTGTGCCAACCAATTCAATTCACGATGGTAGTACTTTAAAGTGAACGACACTTTATATCACTTATTTATCGTATACAATCGTATTGGTTCCATATAGGTGGTATTACAATGTAAGAGGCTGAGACTTCAAAATAATGCATATTTATACTGATACCAGTTAAAGAACCACTGAAAACCGGACAGTACTGGTGTTATAACGGTAGGATATTGAATGAAGACGTTTTTACCTTGCTCTGTCTGCGCCTGAACTAACCTGCCTATCTGCTCGTCGTACCTTCCGACTTAGTAAAGCACGCAAATATCAAAAGACAAAGGCTGGACTGTGACTGTGTATTGAGGTGCAACAACGATAAAGAAAACCATGGTATTTATACATTTTACAACAATATGGACAGCTAACAGCATTTGAAATAATTGACCTTAATAGCCAATAACAAAGTGTGTGAGAAATGATAATATGCCATATGTGCGAAGTTGACAGTCAGTAACAAAATGTGTGGGAATGATAATATACCATATATACAAAATTAGCAGTCACTACCAAAATGCGTGAGAATGATAATATACAAAATTAGCAGTCAATACCAAAATGTGTGAGAATGATAACATACCATCTATGCAAGTTTAAACAGTCAATACCAAAATATGTGGGGTCCTATCAACTGGATAGCTGTTTTGTTCTGGTTTAGGACCCGTCAGCAGTACTGTCCCTGGTTTTCAATGGTTCCCTAACTGATATCAATCTGTGATCAAACTTGAAACAATTTAAACCACTACAAGCTAACTCTTGAAAAGTTTCTCAAATATTCAAAGTATGATGACTTCCAATAGGATATAGAATAATTACACTAAAGTATGTCGAAACAAATATAATAAAGGCAAAAATAAAAGGCAGTATAATTCTTACTTTGTGATCAGTTTTTTTTTAAAACGTCTTTCATACTGAGCAGCAATAGCTATCGAGGCAACAAATGAACAATCAGTAACGACTGTTTGACATATTGAAAAACATGATATGGCCAAAATCATCTTTGGTTGATCAATATATTCAGAAGGACGAACCCAACGGCTTAATAAAGACGTCTGCTTGCTAGATAACGCTAGAAGGCCATCTTTATCACTTGTTGTTTTTGAATTATAATTGTAAAAACATAATGCATTTTAACAGAAAAGCAAGTGATATCAAGGTGAAAGCTATGAATTCATTAAATTGAAGGTATATAAGGTAGTTAGTGAAACAAGTAATAATAACAATAATAACATGAATGAACAAATAATGATAATTATTAAACGCATTTACCCAGTATAGAATTTTCACATATTGGGTTATGTAATGTACTTTATATGAGAGGTTGCTCAGGCATAAGTTGGTGGGGTAAAGAGTGAACTTGGCTGAGTCACGTGTTTGAACGTAAGCGATGCACAATTCCTCTACAGGAGCACACAAATACGAATCACATAAACCAGACACACAATGAAGATTAACCCATAACTGTTTCATTTTATCTGTAGTGTTGGCCGAATTCTAACGATCGAGTTTTTAAGATGGTTGTTAAGTTGAAGAAAACTCTCCATGGTACAGCATTTTGAATCCATGTTGGATGATTGTAACTTATCCGCTATCGCTTGCTGAATGGCAATACGTATCCAATTTACTGTCTACTGCTTTTAATTAAATATTATAGTAACCCATGAATCGTAACTTAAATATTATCTATTAAATATTACTGTATCACAAAGGTTTAGTGAATATTCAAGTTGAGAGGTTTGTAGTGTAGTTATGAATTTAACCACTGTCTGGAAAAGTGAAATCAAGTAATAAGATATTACATGGACGTTGGATGTCTTGTTTTGTGCTGTTTAAAACACAAAAGATGATACCTGGTTTGTCTATCTTAATAGCACTTTTACGTTAAATAAACCAGATTATCTTATAAGATCAATAGTTGATTTTAGAAATACCCCTACTTATGAGTTATATAAACACACAGAATCAATATTATTTCACATCGCGAATTCGATCAGACTTTAGATTAACTCATTTATATGCGATGAAAAGGAAGTTAGATGACATTCAAGTAGAAGATAATGAAAAAAGGGTTACTTTTGAAATAAAAGCTGGTCTTTATATTAATATACCAGTCAGTATAGTTTTGGAGGCAGAAGACATTAAGTCACCTCATCCATTATCTCTAAAGGCAGGCTTTGTTAGATGTATAACAATCCAGGCGAAAACTGAGTAATACGTGAGAAAACTTAACGAAATGGAACGGATAGACGAAGCATTGGTGCTAAGTAATTACTCCATAAAATTTACTAAGACAACCGAGAAAGCTCAATATAAAAAAACAGCATTGACAGTATTGTCAATAGCATAAATGAGGAATTTTCGGCATCTACAGCTTTACCCAATCATGAAGGGATATCTGAAACTTCATGTAGAATTCTTAGTAAATTAGGATGGCATTTAAACCTACAAACTCACTCACAGACACATTCCATTGACCCTATTAAACAAAACAATTTAACCTGCAAATGACTGTAAGGTGAACTATATACGTTAGACCAGTAGTCAGGTTATTGTAACATAAGAGTTCAGCTAAATGTAGAATGATTGATCACATAAAGATGAATATCTTGCAGAAAAACTTAGCAGCTCTAATGCATACACCAACACACAAATCACACAAAGGAGTGCGACAGAGTTATAGATGTAAAACAGTAATATGGACAGATGGGGGAGAAGCTGATGACTGAAATTTTGTTCATCGAATCTATACCTAACACGCGTAGTAGGAATGAACAACACTATTGAATAAGAAATAATGGAATTATATAAATGAAGTTTGAAAGTTATATGTGTGCTTTGATATGACGATCGTGCTCGAAATATCTTCAGTGAATAATACTGCATAACTGTGTGCTCTCATTAACAAATGAAATTATTCTATAATAAGATTATCAATTCAATACTTCTCAGTCTATTTAACACTTTTCACTTTAACGCAAAAGGGTAAATCTCAATTACATTGAATTTTAAAAATCACACTTTGGGATAGGGAAAGAAACGTATTGTAAAATAGTTAACTATGAAATTTTAAATCATGACATACACAAAAGGAGTTGCGAATGAAAATCGTTCACGTAGATCAATTGAATCCAAAAACGGTAGGTACTCACGACCATTAATTATAGATGTTGCTTTTAAAACCTTTAATTCCTCCAAAGAAAAGCCACCTGGGCCTATGAAGAAATAAAATAAATTAAAATCGGCAGATCAACAGTACCTTCCCAAAGTTCTCCATTCTTATAATTATTCACTTATGCTGTAAAAGAAGTTACAATTTCAGATAGTCACTTAAGTTTATTAGGTCAGTTGTCGCAATTAACCTTTTCAATGCCCTTTTATACTGAGACCACGATTTGTATATCTTACATAAAGACCAACAACTAGTATCCTAGCACTGATCCTATGTGTCATTTTTACCTGATACGTTGTACAAGAATGAGTAATTTTAAGTAGTACAAACTTTCTCGTTCTTTCAATACTACATGACATTTGTCTTCTATTGTAAGAACTCATGGATTAATGTGTATGAAAAACTAAAGTGTAACTGCAGGCGCATTAAGTTGTCCCTTAAAAAAAATTTATCCAACACTTTAACTACCCGATTTCAGAGAAATATTTATTCACGACAGTCTAAATGACCATCATCAGACTGTCACATAATACTGATATCATCTCTATCGGTTTTGGTTTCATAATAGCAGTCCGAGCTGAAAAGAAAACTTGGGTCATAGTACGAACTGAATGAACAGTTTTACTCCCTTTTCACTGAGTTTTACTGTTTTCGTTCATTTTTCTTATTTTGAGGGGCTTGAAGCCAGTTTTTGTGTATCAACTAGTTCACATTAAAATTAATTAACTAATTGCCTTCTAATAACGTGTAAGTGTAAATTATTTACTGTCATTGTCACAGTGAGTTATGTAAATCTCTGTTCCCGATCGAAAGCTGCTACCTTGACGTGGTGGTCGGGCTTGAACACCGCAATGACCTAATCAAGCTATACTGGCTGAGACTTATGTCTCTTGAGGTTCTACCATGCCAGGCAGGTTGTTTGGATAGCGGTTAAACAAAAAGCAGCTACCCATCCAATACCATGTCCAAACAAATTCACAAAATTTCATGCCGGATCGGCCGTGGCCCGGATTAACAACGACCGCGCTTCCTGCTGCCGTGTCACAGGGCAGGAGTGATAAGTATGCTACTGAGGCACACCAAACAAAAGAGAACAAACAAAAACAGGCCGCGTGTGACCGGCCTCAAGCAGTTGTCCCCTGGGCTCTGCGGTCACGCAACCAACTTCCACGGTGTGGGCAGCCGGGAAGTAACAATCGCCCTCACAATCCGAAATGCACACAAAACCTCTCTAATCCTCACTTATCTTTGTCTTCATCTTCATCTCTATTACCTTGCCTTCCTTCCACTGATGCAACTCCTCTACTTGATGGCTCCTCACTCCCTCTTCACTCTGTGTCCACTAAAAACGACGAAAGCCAAAAAACCACCACGGATAGTCTCCTAAAGCCACGCCACCAATTTCATATAGGAGCATTTAATGTTAGGACACTTTGCCAAATAGGACAACAAGCATCACTAGCTAAGACCCTGGCATCTCGAGCCATTGATGTATGTTGTGTTTCAGAAACACGCATACAAGACCCAAGTGTGGTTATTCACCTAACCCCACCTGGCCAACAGGATGAATCTTCAAAATTCACCTTGAGGGTGTCAGGAGATGCCACAGCTAGTTCACGAGGATTAGCTGGCGTAGGGATAGCTTGAGTACTAGGGCAGAAAAGACATTGCTTGACTGGATCCCGGTAGATAGCCGAATGTGTGCTGTCCGTCTGAACGGATCAGTAAGAAGGAGAAAGGACTGCACTACTCGCCGATGCCTTTTCGTAATCTCCGCCTACGCCCCCACTGACTGCAGTTCGGATGAAACGAAGGATGAGTTCTACCAAAAGCTGTCTAGTTTGGTGAGAAAGGCTAAACGCTCAGATATAGTCGTTCTAGCTGGTGACTTTAACGCTCAAGTAGGGAAATTGTGTCAATCTGAGAAGGATGTCGGTGGCACCTATGGAGTTCCGTGCCAGCGAACCGACAACGGTGACCGTCTCCTACAGTTCTGTTCAGATAATCATTTGTTTCTTGTAAGCACTAACTTTAAACACAAGGAGAGACACTGTTTAACCTGGCGACCCCCATCATCAAACCAACGCTGGACACAAATAGACCACATAGCAATAAGCTATCGTTGGCGTGGGTCGGTAGGAGATTGTCGCTCCTTCTGGAACACGTGTGTAGATACCGATCACGCACTGGTCCGGGCTCGTGTGTGCTTACGACTGAACGGACGTAGGAAACAGCTGGCGGTAAAACCATCACGTCCCCAGCTCGATCAGGAAACTAAATCCCTATTTGAGGAAGAACTAGCTAAACGCATATCTGTATTCGACAGCTGTGCTCACCCTGGAGAAGCCTGGAAGAATATTCAGTCAGCTATAGATACAGCTGTAAAAGCTGTGAATAAGGCAAATCCAAAGGTGAGTAAAAACCACTGGATTTCGACTGCCTCATCCGAACTGATAGATGCTAGAAGACTTATTCCGGCGAGCTCCGAATTCAATGAGGAGCGAAAGCTGCACAAAAGGAAACTTACTAAAAGTCTCCGCAAGGACCGTGAACAGTGGTGGGTGACAAAGGCAAAAGAGATGGAAAAAGCATCGGCGATAGGCAACACTAGGCAACTCTTTAGACTCATCAGAATCGGGTGGGAGAAGGCAATTCATAAGTGAGACTATTTCTGAGAAAAATGGCTCCTTAATTAGCTCTCAGGATAGACGCCTTGAACGCTGGAAAGAACACTTTGAGGAACAATTTAACTTGCCTACAGCCACACTGAACCTCCCCGCCATCCACCACACCCGAATGGGATATAGACACTGGTCCGCCGTCTGTAGGTGAGGTTACAAAAGCTATCAGTAATTTGAAACGAGGCAAAGCGGCAGGACCCGACGGAATTATTCCGGAGGTGTTTAAATATGGGGGTGACATACTAGTTTGTAGATTAACTGAGGTACTAGGCAAAGTCTGGGAATCAGAGACAGTACCATCAGACTGGGGTAAGTCACTTATTATACCGATATTCAAGAAGGGAAACAAGTCCTCGTGTGATAATCATAGGGGGATCAGCCTAACGAACATAGTCTCTAAAATCCTAGGCTCAGTAATCATGCATAGACTAAGCAGAACTCGGGAGGAACAGACAAGGGAAAATCAAGCAGGCTTTAGACCAGGTAGAGGGTGCATAGATCATATCTTCACTCTTCGACAGATTCTAGAACATAGACACACTTTTCGGCGTCCAACAATTGTCATATTTCTTGACTTGAAGGCGGCCTTCGACTCCGTGGATCGAAAGGTACTATGGCAATGTCTGACTGTGAAGGGAGTGCCAAGAAAGTACATTGCACTAATCAAGGCACTCTATTCAAACTCACGTAGTCGTGTAAGGGCTTATGGGGAATTGTCATCTGAATTGGTAACAACCAGTGGTGTCCGACAGGGATGTCCACTTTCCCCATTTCTGTTTAACTTCATCATAGATATGCTAATGGAAGTATCCTTAACTGAACGTAGTGACTTAGGAATCGACTTGTTACCAGGGAATAATCTTATGGACTTAGAATATGCAGATGACATAGTCCTGTTAGGGGAGGATGCTGACAAAATGCAGAGTCTTCTGAACACCTTGAGCAGCAATCTTCGTATGTTTGGCATGCGATTCGCCCCTGCAAAATGTAAGATGCTGCTACAGGACTGGACCACGTCAACCCCTAACTTAGTGATAGGGAGTGAAGTGATAGAACATGTTGACCACTTCACCTACTTGGGAAGTTGTATTAGCACCAACGGACTGATTGGCGATGAAATCTCAGCACGGATCCGAAAAGCTCGAGCTGCTTTCGCTGACTTACACCATCTCTGGCGTAGGCGTGACATCCGGTTATCAACCAAGGGACGTGTGTACTGCTCATCAGTTCGCTCCGTCCTTCTCTATGGCTCTGAAACATGGCCAATACGCGTTGAAGACATGAAAAGGTTGACTGCTTTCGATCATAGATGTCTGCGATCTCTGTCTCACGTTAGGTGGTTTCACAAGATAAGTAATGTTGACGTTAGGCGTAGAGTGTTGGGCAAAGAGGGAAAATCAATCGACGAGGCTATAAAGTTACATAGACTAAGATGGCTAGGTCACGTGCTGCGCATGCCTAACCACCGCCTCCCCCGACGGGCATTGCTAGCTGATATAGGTTCAGGTTGGAAAAGAGCCAGTGGTGGCCAAACAAAAACATGGCATCAATCCATGAAATCCTTGACAGTTAAACTGAGTCAGGTAGGGAGATGCAGACTCCCGGGTTGGGGCCCTCGGGACTCTAGGAATCAATGGCTGGAGACAATAGGTGACATGGCTCAAAATCGTTGTCAATGGCGCAGATGTATTCAGTCTCTGTAATCTTTCATATTCCTTTCTACCATTACCCATTCTGTTTCACTCTTATACTTGTCAAACTCTATTGATTCTCTTCACTCATCTTCTTGTCTACCTCTGTGTGCTATTTGGAACGTGGCAACTCGAACTGCTGCACTTCGGTGCCAAGTTCTATGTTGAATCCAGACAGACAGAAATCTCTGTTACTTTATAATAATCACTGACTGATCTGTGAAAATTTATATATTTAACTCTAAATTTCATAAGACAATAGTTAACTATAATTCGAACCCTGAAATTCACACCATTATTACATCAAAACACTGAAAAATACAATAAATACAGTGACGTTAGTCAATTTGGATCCTAAATGATTGTAATTATTACAATTTATTACAAAACAACGAGAAGTATTCTGTCTGTCTGTTTTCGACATAGAACTTTGCACAAATGTGCGACAGTTCAAGTCGCCACACTCCGTGTAGCACGCGAAGCAAGAGAAGAAAGTACAAGAAAAGCATAATAGAAACAGTGATCAGAGGCGTGAGGCAAAGAAGTAATAAAGAAAAACAAAACAGTTTCATTGGAGATCATTAGTCACAAGGAGTGGATGCATCTGCGCCACTGAGAACGATTTTGAGCCATGTCACCAATTGTTTCCAACCACTTGTTTTTACCGTCCCGAGGACCCCAGCCTGGAAGTCTACACCTTCCTACGTGGCTTAGACCAACTGTTGTGGATTTCATTGACTGGTGCCAAGTTTTTGTTTGACCACCGCTAGCTTTTTTCCAGCCTGACCCTACATCCGCTAACATTGCTCGTCGAGGGAGGCGATGGCTTGGCATACGTAACACATGTCCTAACCATCTCAGTCTTTGTAGCTTCACGATTTCGTCGATTGATTTCCCCTGTTTACCTAGAACTCGACACCTAACCTCCATGTTGCTCACCTTATTATGCCACTTTACACGGGAAATAGAACGCAGGCACCTATGATCAAATGCAGCTGGTCTTTTCATGTCTTCCACTCTCAGTGGCCAGGTCTCACAACCATAAAGGAGGACGGAGCGGACTGATGAGCAGTACACCCGCCCTTTGGTCGATAGTCGAACTTCTCGTCTACGCCAGAGTCGGCGTAAACTAACAAATGCGAAACGAGCCCCTTGTATTCGTGCTGAGATTTCGTCAGAGATCAGCCCGTTGGGGCTGATGGTACTTCCCAAATAAGTGAAGCGGTCAACGTGCTCTACCACTTCACTTCCTATTTTTAAACTAGGCGTCGATGTAGTCCAGTCCTGTAACATCATCTTGCATTTGGCAGGAGCGAATCGCATTCCAAACATTCGTAGATTGCGGCTCAAGGTGTTTAGAAGACTCTGCATTTCGTCAGCGTCTTCGCCTAGAAGGACTATATCGTCTGCATATTCCAAGTCAACGAGATTATTCCCCGGTAGCAAGTCAATTCCTGAGTCACTGAAGTCACCTAGGGTTAAGTCCATTAACACATCTATGATGAAGTTGAATAGAAAAGGGGATAATGGGCATCCTTGACGGACACCACTGGTCGTCATCAGTTCAGATGACAGCTCGCCGTAAGCCCTCACCTGGCTGTATGAGTACGAATAGAGTGCCTTAATCAGTGCAATATATTTTCTTGGAATTCCCTTTACAGCCAAGCATCTCCAGAGAACTTCCCGATCGACAGAGTCGAATGCTGCCTTTAGGTCAAGAAATATAATGATTGTTGGACGCCGGTAGGAATGTCTATGTTCTAGAATCTGTCGGAGGGTGAAGATATGATCAATACACCCTCTTCCTGGTCTAAAGCCTGCCTGGCTCTCTCGTGTTTGTGCCTCCCGAGCACCACTTAGTCTACGCATGATTATTGAACCTAGGACTTTAGATACTATATTAGTCAAGCTAATCCCTCTGTGATTATCACAGGAAGACTTGTCTCCCTTCTTGTATATCGGGATAATCAGTGACTTACACCAACCCGATGGGACTTCTTCTGATTCCCAGACGCTGCCTAGTACCTCAGTTAATCCAGACAGTAAGCTGTCTCCACCGTACTTAAATACCTCTGGCGTCATTCCATCAGGTCCCGCTGCTTTGCCTAGTTTCAGATTGGTGACAGCTTTAGTAACCTCATTTAGGGATGGAGGACCTGTGTCTATATTCCATTCAGGGAGGTGTTGGATGCTCGGAAGGTTGAGCGTGGCGAGAAGTATTGCCTTCAATAAAATTTGAAAAGAAACAACTTACCTGTCTTGGGAAAAGCAGGTGGTCTTCTGGGCGCAGCCATCTTCTGCGACACAGAATTACTGTACGTAGATCCAGTATCGAAATGTGAAGTTTGTGTTTCGTTTACACGTAATTTCAAAATCTCAGCACTAGAGAGCTGAAATTTATTAAATAATTTCGCAATACCGATCTAAACCCTCTTTGGCAAACTTCTGAATTTGCTGGAGCATATAACCATCGCCGACATCTTTTTTCTGTATGTAAATAATCAGTTAATTTCTAAGAGTTTTACCAAGGACAAAAGTAATTCCACAGCCAGTGTATAAAGTTCGATTGCTTCAGAAATGTTCCCTTTCTCATCTTCGGATACTGCATCATTCAGTAAACAACGCGCTCTTGCTAAGTCAGCCTAAAGCAAGAATTAACCAAAAGTATGATCAAACTTTGCTTTTCTTGATGTTAGTATCTATTGCTGGAACATTTTCCGTAGCAATTTTGGATTTCAGCTCCTTAACTTTATCGCTGTACTGTTGAGCTAACTCTAGTAAGCCTTCAGTAGTAGAACCGGCCTCAAGGGAATTCAACAAAGCTTGAGCAGCCTCCTAAAAATAACAGTGAAATCACCAATTACTGTGTAAAAGAAAGCAGCTGATCCGTAGTGACCTTCAGACTCTTGTTCTACTGCAAGTCTCTTGAATAACTCAGCATCTTTTTCCAACTCAACTGAATTGGCCATTTAAGACTATAATGAACAGCCTAAAGGCGTTCTTCGGAAGGCGTCAGTCAGCAATTAATTGATACTACCGCTGGCTATTATTTTAGTACACAAAGATCTAAGCAAGAGGAGAAAGCAAATGAGATGTATTATTAGGAATGAGAAACATAGTAAATTAAAATTTGTAACATCAGACAACTATTTCGACTTATCAAGGAAAAAAGTGGCAAAAAGCAAATGAGACAATAACCAAAAATGTGGTGCTCTAATTTAGCTCTCAGGGTAGACGATTGGAACGCTGCAAGGAACATTGTGAGGAGCAGTTTAACTGGCTTACAGCCACGCTCAACTTGCCCAGCGCCCAATACTTAACTGAATGGGATATAGACATCGGTCCGCCATCTGTAAATGAGGTTACAAAGACTGTCTCTGACTTGAAACAAAGCAAAGCAGCAGGTCCTGATGAGATGACTCCAGATTTGTTTAAAGACAGTGGTGACAAACAGCTTTCTGGCTAAGGGGTTAGGCAACGCTGGGAATGAGAGAGAGTCCTGTTGGATTGGTGTAAGTCACTGATTATTGATAGGATCCCACATATTTTGGTATTGACTGTTTAAACTTGCATATATGGTATGTTATCATTCTCACACATTTTGGTATTGACTGCTAATTTTGTATATTATCATTCTCACGCATTTTGGTAGTGACTGCTAATTTTGTATATATGGTATATTATCATTCCCACACATTTTGTTACTGACTGTCAACTTCGCACATATGGCATATTATCATTTCTCACACACTTTGTTATTGGCTATTAAGGTCAATTATTTCAAATGCTGTTAGCTGTCCATATTGTTGTAAAATGTATAAATACCATGGTTTTCTTTATCGTTGTTGCACCTCAATACACAGTCACAGTCCAGCCTTTGTCTTTTGATATTTGCGTGCTTTACTAAGTCGGAAGGTACGACGAGCAGATAGACAGATTAGTTTCAGGCGCAGACAGAATAAGGTGAAAACGTCTATCATTCAATTCACTACAGATATAACAAATTGGCGACGGGATTTTACCTTAATTCATCGCAGTTATAACAATTATCCTGATATGCAAAAGGAGAAAAGTCTTCCTGTGATGATCACAGGGGATTAGCTTGACCAATATGGTATCTTAAGTTTTAGGCTAAAAATATAATGCGTAGACAAGCTTTAGACTAGGAAGAGGGTGAATTGATCATATCTTCACCCTTCAACAGATTCTAGAACCGGACACAGGCATACTTACTGGCGTCCAACAATCGCCGTATTTTTTGAAATGAGGTGGCATTCGACTCCGTCGGCCAAGAGGTACTATGGTGATGTTTAGCTGTAAAGCAAATGCCGAGAAAATGCATTGCACTGTTCAAGGCACTCTACTTGAACTCATGCAGCAAGGTGAGTATATGGGTAGTTGTAGTTTGAAGTGGTGTCCGTCAGGGATGTCTACTGTCCCTATCTTTAATTAATTTCATCATAGCTGTTCTAATGGACTTAACCCTGACTTCAGGGACTCAGGGATTGACTTGTTACCAGGGTATAATCTCACTGACTCAGAATATGCAGATGATATAGTCTTTCTAAGTGAGGACGCTGACATAATGCACATAGTGAACACCTTGAGCAGCTGCCTTCGTATGCGTTGGCATGCGATTTACTTCTGTTAGAAGGAAGTTCGTGCTACAGGACTGGACTGTATCGACTCCAAGGTTATAGATAGGATGTGAAGTGGTAGAGTATGTTGACCATTTCCCTTATTTGGGAAGTTGCATTCAGCCCCGGCGGGTTTATTGCTGACGAAATCTAAGCACGGATACAAAAGACTCATGTGCCATTTGCTAACCTCTGGCGTAGATGTGATATCAGTCTATCGACCAAAGGACGTGTACTATTTAGCAGTCCGGTCAGTCCTCCTTTATGACTGTGAATCATGGCCATTGAAAGTGGAAGATACAGGTATCTGCGTCCCACCTCCCTTGTCAGGTGGTATAATAGGGTGAGCAATATTGAGGCTGTGTCAAGTGTTGGGTGGGGACAGAAAGTCAATTGATGCTTTTATCAAACTACATCGGTTGAGATAGTTAGGATGTGTGTTACGCATGTCAAGTAACTGCATCCGCCGACGAGCAATCTTAGCTAACATAGGATTAGGTGGGAAATGAGCTACTGGTGGTCAGGCCAAAACCTGACATCAGTCCACGAAATCGTCGAGTGTTAGTTTGAGCCACGTATTGAGGTGTAGGTTTCCTGGTTGCAGTCATCAGGATGCTAAGAACCAATGGATGAAGATGATCGGTGATGTGGCTAAAAAATTTCCTCAATGGCGCAGATGTATTCAACCTTTGTAATCTGTCATATCCATTAAATCCTATTGTTTGCCCATGTTACTATTCTTTCTCACTCACATTTCTGCTTATCATCGTTCTCTTGAATTGTTTTTCTCTTTCGTCTGCTTTTGTGTGCAAAATGGTGTGGCAACTCGGAATTTTGCACTTCTGTACTGTGCTCTATGTTGATACCATTCAATTGCAAATTAAAATACTCCGTATTTTATACACCTAAGTTTCAAATATCAGTGCTTTTGATTGTGTATAAGATTTTTTGATGACTATATTTTCATAGGATATCCGAATTTATTATCAGTACACATAACTGTTTAAAGCCATCATAATCATGTAAACATAACATAGGTGACACTGATTCCACAATATATCTTAAAGTCTAACGATATTTAAACCAAAGGGTTAACTACTTGTACAGCTATCAGTTTGTTTTCTCATTGAAGGTTAATATACCTTTGTAATGGCATAGAAAGTAATCACTTTGAATGTTGAATATGAGAACGGTAACTGCTTTAGACTTCTGAACAAGGTGTAGGTTGTCTTGCGGGAGTCCTCCAGATACTAGGAGACACTGTGGAATGACTCCCCTCCTCCACATAAATTTTTGCCAATTGTGGTATCAATCCGTTTTTTACTCTTACTCCGTATGCTTTTTTGGACTAACAAAGGAGTATAAGGTTCGGTATTTTGTCAGTTAGCATATGACTATAAATTAATCACATCTTTGTCAAACTGTACATGTAATTGTGTACTGTATTCAGTGTTTGGAAATTATAAAACCTACTTAGAGCCACAAAGTTTTACACCCTTATACCTTTTAGAATTTGTAGGTTCGAAAGGCATCCATATTAAATGTGTATTATTTGTCAACAGTAAATAAGGGAATATCAAAATACATCATTTATTGTGATGTTTTTACATAATAATAATTTATTTGCATTTGGAAAAGCTGATGTTGAAGAAACAGGGGAGAGGTTCGCACTTCTGAAGAGAACCGAGAAAAACAACAAAAATGAGTAGTATGACTTCTATTATTTGAAAATGGCGGAATGAAAAGAAGTTTACTACGTTACTAACGTTGGTAACACGTCCTAATCAGCATTCTACCCAATCTCACCAGTCGTATTCACTGGAGTTACATTTGTAAAACAGATTTAGTTCTATGACTACAGTGTGAGCACAAAACTTCGTACACTGATTACAGAAGCAAGATATTTAGTTGTCACATTCACTGTTCGTCCTTATTAACCCATCTTAAAGGTGCATTGGGCAGACGCTCACTGACTGAAGTAAATTTGTATGCACACAATCGAGTTGCTAACAATTATATTTTTCACAACACATTTACTTTATTATCGCTAAAGGCACTTGATTATTGTTCTCCGGCATTTAAACGCATTTTACTGCACCCAACGACGAGTCAAGTCTACTGATGCTACTTGGCAGAACAGTATATCCACTGGACTTCGAAGCCGTGATCAACTTAAGTCACACAAGAAATATTCTCATATGCGGAGTCCAAGAGGAAAAAAGAAAACTCAAGAAAATATTTGAAGAGCAATAAGCCAATAAAATGCAGAAGGAGGAGGATTGCCGGAGACACTTAAAGCGAGAGATTTAAAATTTGATTATATTCATATCATCGTAGTTGGAAGGTAATACTTTCCAAGAATGTTGACAGGACTTAGCAAGATCTGGGGGAACTCCTGCAACTTTCAAGGGGTGATACGAAACCAATCGTGTGGGAAACATTTCGATGCTAAATGTTTAGACAAAAAATACTCACAAACCCAATCAAAGGAACAAAATTTAGTCCAATATTGGCACTATTGTTTATAATTTCTCTCTGCGCTTCTACAAAACGTTTTAACCAATTACTCACTGAGCAAACCACGAAATGTAGGATAACTTGTTTCAGAAACAACGACAGATCTCTCGTTTGCGTTTTTAGATAAACACACCAAAAACATTACCTGAGTTCAGATAGTCCTTGCTTCACCTGATTATTTATATACACTGTCGTATACAAAACTAGACTTCCATGCAACTTTTATAGGCTATTTGTTGAGTCTACCAGCAAACCCCAAAACTAAGTTCATACCTGAGTAACGCATACGTTAAATTGTTCTCCAACATCCAATATCCAATATCCTATCCAATATCCAATATCCAATATCGTTTTTACGAGCTAGTATAAACCAATTTGATTTCTTTGTGCTCGCTTCTTGATTGTGAGGTATAGGTTCTTGATCTTCGGTAAACTTCTGCGTAGCTTGTCCCGCCACTCGACTGTCGTAGCTTTGGTTGACTCCAAAGGGAGTAGTGCTGGGATTAATTATATGTGGTTTGTAGTATGAGGTATGTTAAGACTGTTACTACTGTGATTGGAGTTGATCCTTTCGCCAGTTAGTCCTTCGGTATTGTCGACAAGAGAAAAGAGATAGTAATAATAATAATAATATAATAATAATAATAGTAATAATAATAATAATAGATATAATTAGTGAAGCTATTCAGACTAAGAGACAGAAACGAAAATAGGAAACGTAACAACAGTCAGCTCATGAAGTTTGAAGAATAATATATATATCAGTAATAGTAATAATAATAATAATAGTAATTATAATATTAATAAGTTGTCAG